AAAGACACTTTTATTGATAAAAAAAAAAGACTTCAGAATATGGGCATAAGATTTTTTCGTAGGGACGAAGAGATTCTTAATTATGTTGACATAAAAGCAATCTTTTTGTCATCGATGAATTGCCTTTTGAATATTTTAGAGCTTAGAATATTTCTTTGTTTCTGATAAAAGCAATTTTTTTGCATTGATGAATTGCTTTTTGAATATTTTAGAGCTTAGAATATTTCTTTGTTCCTGATTTTGAATTAGAGAAATATTAGGTTTTATAAATCATAATGAACTTTTTTTTTTTAATTTCAAGAGCAAAAGCTGAATTCCTCCTTCACTTCTTTGAATACCTTAATTCAAAATACGGACTGAAGTGTGTTTTTGAAAGAGAGAAAGAGGGGGGTGAAGGGGAGGGGGGGGGAGTAGAGAAAGGTAGGATAAAAAATGCGCGAAGTGCAATGGCGAGAAACTAACCTCATCGCACGTGCGAGCGGCCATGTTGCAATTCGACATGCCCGTCGTCATCGCGCGCTCGTGATCGCTTATGATCGCGCAGTGATCGCACGCGTCGCGACGTGGGTACATCGCCACGAGTAGCACGGAGTAGCGACGTTCGGCCGAATCGCGAGGAGCTCGGCATGTCGTTCGGTAGCGGATTCGGGGCGTCCACGTCGACGCCGGCACCCACGTTCGCATTCGGCACCACGCCGGCGTCCACGGCGACGCCGGTTAAACCTGGTAAGCCGCCCTTCGTCTCGTCCCGAGATCACGACTCTCCTCGTCCTTCGTTTTTCGACCTCTTCGTTCTCTCGTGTAAAGATCCCGACTCTTCGTCGTAATAAAACGTAAGAAGACGAACGCGCGATACACGATTGGCGCGTTTCTGCGCTTTCGTGCCTGGCTAATTCGCGGCGAAATCCGCGTGTAACAATTTTGAGGTTAAGTATCGTGCCGCTGTAAGCTCGTCTCGAGTCGGATTGGAATTCAAGAGGTAAGCATTTTCGAGGACTTCTCTCTTCAGTTTCTGGTCGAACTGGTCCTGGTCGTTGCCTCGGAATCTTTGTTCAGCAGGGGTTGATTCACACCCCTGCAGTCTGGCCTGCACTCGATGTCACTCTTGGTTAAGGAGGCATGCCTGCTCCTCCTGGATCTCGCGATTATGCATGCCGTGATGCAACACATCAGCAATATGATAAAGAACGTAACCAGCAAAACGGTCAACAACGTTGTGTGTTCCGCATATCTTTCAGATTCAATGACTTCTATCGAAGCTAATGTGGTCTGATTGCAATCGAGTATCATGCGTGACTCGGTGCCGTAAGCAGCAACCTTTTTGCTGATAGTCGTGTCCTCCAAATAATACATCTCATTCGGGATCTTTCCAAGTGTCGTTATCATAATCTCTGCGGTTGCATCCTGTGTAAAGATAATTGAATCAGATTATCATAAGAATTGAAGTAAAATCAGGAAAAGTAAAAGTATCGTAACAGATACCCCGATTGCCATGTCCGTAGTACCAAGCTCGCTTACAATTTCAGTGGAAGAATCATCTACTGACTTGATATGACGGAAAATGATGTTTGATGTAGCATCTGTCTTGAGTGAATTATGTGTCAATTGTGCATAGAAATTAGCCTGTTCGAAGTGTATGTTAATTTCATATTAAATTACATTTTACTGAAACATCGAAAACTAGTTTCTTTTAGATTTTCTTAGCATAAAAATTATTTATACTTTTGCCAAATGTTACCTGTAATTCATTTTGTTGATTTGGAAATATCATCTTGTATATTTTATTTTATATGAGTATATTATTAAAAATTTATATATTTTTATAATTGTTCTTGAATTTTTGATATAGAAATATTTGTATGGATATCGATATTCTAAATGTACTATAAACTACAGATAATTATATGTCTGTGCAGTATATCCCAATATATATAATTGCAAAAAATATAAGTCACATGTAAAATTATTTCTGTAAAATAAGCAAGGAAGAATGTCATAAATAGCAAATATCTTTCATCCAACTTCATGTTAAACAAAAATCATGTGACTCAATGCTCACTGATATGTTTGACAGAAGCAATGAATACATATATCCAGAAGATGCAATGGTTGAGCCAGCTATCATTGGTCATGTTCTTCACATACAAAGCTAAAGATTCATTTCAATTGTAGATGATCACTCTTGCTCAATCTATCTTTAGAATGATACCAATATTGATGTTTAATATGCATGTTTTGCAGTTCTTGTCAAAAGCATTAACCTACTACAAATTTTAAAGTGGCAGGTTTCGGGACTCCTTCCTTTGGATTTAGTACACCGACGACTTCGACGCCAAGTCTATTTGGTACGCCGTCGACTCAGACGACAGGATTTGGTACTGGCACTGGATTTGGTACTCCAGCGGCCACTGGCTTCGGTAGCGCGTCGACGACGGGTTTTGGAGCCGCGCCTACGTTCGGTGCCACGCCGACTAGTGCCTTTGGCTCGGCACCAGCTTTCGGTAGTACTTCCGCTTCATCTGCAACCACTGGATTTGGTACAACTTCGACATTTGGCAGTGCTCCTGCTTCCACAACCGGTTTCGGTAATTTTGGAACAGCGGCGACGACGTCAACGTTGAGTTTCGGAGGTTTTGGTGGATTCGGGACAACTACGACTACGTCTGCACCCAGTCTGTTTGGCGGATTCGGCACTACGAGCACTCCTTCAACAGGTTTCGGTGCATCCACAGGTTTCGGAGCGTTTGGAAGTAAACCAATTACCACCACTAGCACTGGATTTGGTGGATTTGGAACAGGTAATGTCAAATCTTTTGTATCCAGACAAAAGCTTTTATATTGCAATATTTTTTCTCTATTTTTACTAATATTTTTACTGCATTTATATATAGGAACTGGATTCACTGGATTTGGTACTGGACTAACGCAATCTCAGCAACAACAGCAGCAGCAGCAGCAACAGCCGCCTTCGAACACTGCATCAGAAGCTCTCTATAATGCTGTGTTCAATTGTCAATTGTATAATGACGAACGAGATAATACTATTGCCAGGTGGAATCTTATTCAAGCGTTGTGGGGAACAGGAAAGGCTTATTATTCCATAAATGCCCCGCCTATAGATCTTACTCAAGAAAATTCATTATGTAGATTCAAAGCCATTGGTTACAGTCGCATACCTGATGCTGACAATAATGATGGTTTAGTGGTACTGTGCTTTAATAAAAAAGAAAAGGATGTACAGGATGGAAAACAGCAATTAATAGTATTTCTTAATGGTTTATTGGGGAATAAACCCAATCTAACAGTAACTGTCGATAATGTAAAATCAACGGGGGAGAACAAAAGTCAAGTGACGGTATATGTATCGGAAAAAGGAATAACCGGATCTTACAGGAAAATTCCTGCCAATGAGCTGGTCGCGTACTTATCGCAAGTTATGCAAAAGCAACAATTGGTACAAAACGGAGTCGAAGATATATTTCCACTGGTGAAACTTGATCCGTCACAGTTAAAAGAGTACCTAGATAATCCACCTTGCGCTATTGATGCCAGATTGTGGAAGCAAGCACAGTTAGACAATCCCAATCCGGAATTATATATTCCGGTCCCTATGGTCGGCTTTCAGCAAGTCAAGCACAGATTAAAATGTCAAGAAGAGGAAACCGCTAGGCACAGAGCGTTTCTGGATATGGCGGCTGAAAAAATACAAGGCTTGCAGAGACAGCATACGGCCACGCAGGCCCGACTTAAGGAACACAGACGTACATTGTTAGAACTTCAGCACAGGGTTTTGCAGGTATCGCGGTGATCAATTTCCTCTTATTAATTCTGATTACGATGTTTCTGTCTGGTAATCATAGAAATTCTACTCAAAGGTGCTGGTACGGCAGGAAATTACACGTAAAGTTGGATTATCCTTACAACCGGAGGAAGAAGTTCTAACACGAAGATTTGAAGCGATGCATTCGCAAATTAGTGCTCCAACGCAATATAAAGGTAGAATTAGTGAAATGCTCTCTCAGCTCAGAATGAGACGGCACATTGATATTCAAAACCAAGAAAGATATACGATGGATCCTATAGCGCAGGATGATATTAAAGCGGTAAGAACATTCTTTACTTACTTTAGCTGAAAATTATCATTAGATACATCTAATAATTTCTTTTCTATTATTTCAGTATTTAAGTATGGAGCAGCAAGGCATGGCGCAGCTCATTTCGACAATAAATGCTGATTTAGAAAGTTTAAAAATTATTAAAGATGGAATGTCGGAGCTTTTGATGAGTCAAAGTATATCTTGAGGATTGTAATATATAATAAAATTTTTTTTTATGTCTATACAATTAAAAGAGCGTGTTTATTAATGTTTATATAATTGATTATAGTTATGTAAAAATTATTTGTATTTTTCACAAAGCCGTGCCATATTTATTTTTCGTCTACGCGATTTCTACAACCTTTTTCCTTTTGTATTGAATTTTGACATGAATGAATGATTGAATGTTGCAAATGATTATTTTTCATTTTTAATTTGCATTTTTAATTTTATATTAAAATTTAAAAATATAGTTTGATAGAAAATCATATTTTTTTAAGCACACATTTTTTTCTTTTGTTTATTCGACATTACTTTTAATATCATGTAAAAGATGCTGTAAATAAGTAATGCAAAACATGGTACATCAAATAAAACAAAATGCATATTGTATAGATAAATAAAGGAATGATTTAATGCACATAATAAAAATTAAAAAGGACAGTTCAACACATATAAATAAGAAATCTACAAATCGTGATATATTTCGAGTGAATCGCTGAATTGAAGTTAAAAAGTGGATGTTTTACAAAATACAATTTCATCCTTCCGTGTGTGTTTACAATGATTTGACATGTGTACAATATAGATAAATGGAATATATCAAAATTATGATTATTACAATCGGAATCAAGTTCCTTATTTGCAATTTTCATCATTTCCTATTGCATCGATTCCTTTATTGGTGTTTTTTAGTGATGACAAAGATTTATTATGAACATCCTGGCCTATGGTCATTTTCAATAATTTTAAAACCGACTTTTTATCTGCATTCTCATTTTCTGTAAACAAAATGCATTTTGTTAATATCTCCTATTATTGTAAAATATTTTGCACTTACCTTCATTTTCGGTAATTTGTCGTTCAAGATGCAATTTTTCTTGCGCTATTTCATACATGCCTTCTTCTATCGTGCCTTCGCTTAACAATCTTATTATGGTAACTGGTCTGCAAGAAAATTTGATCAAAATTTGCATCTTGAATATATTCATTTTAATAAATGATTTAAAAAATGTATGTTTTATCTAAATTAAAAAATATGTCTAGAGATCTTGTGAGGCATACTTTTTTTGTCCTACACGATGACATCGATCTTCTGCTTGTTTGTCATTGTAGGGATTGAAATCTATGTCGTGTATTATAACTGTATCGGCAGCAGTTAAATTGATCCCCAAACCTCCAGCTCTTGTTGATAATAAAAATATGAATATACTCGGATCTTGTGTGTATTCATTTATAAGAGTTTGCCTCTCAGTCACTGGTGTACTGCCATCTAGCCTAATTTATGTATTAAATTCATTTAAAATCAAACTGATATTACACGCAGTCATAGCAATCTTGTAAAAAATATTAGTTATTGCTAACCTTAAGAACGTCTGTCCCCTGATAGCTAAGTATTCTTCGAGTATATCTAATACCATAGTAAATTGGCTAAAAATAAGCACTCTATGACCATCTACTTTCAATTGTGGCAGCAATTTGTCTAGTTCCTTCAGTTTACCAGCTTGAGGAATAAGTTCTTGAGGCAAACCAAATCCAGCTATACTTTTGTATATACGAGTTAATTGATTTATTTGATAATCAGATGTCCAAATCAATTCTTCAAAGATGTATTCTGGGTTCTTTTGCTTATAGCCTGATTCTTTTGCCAGTCTACTTGCTATAGTCTACATAATACATTGATAACTTAAGAACTGATTAAAGAAATAAAACCACAATTGCTCAGATTACATACCTTGAGTTTTTTCTCATCGTAATAATCACGTACGAGAAGAGGATGATTGGCGAGCTTTCTTAGTTGCATCATCATGCCAGTTCCATTTACATCCGTAATTTCGTTGGCCTCTGCCGAAAATTGTGCGACTAACTTGTCATACATATTTTGTTGCTTTTCAATTAATGCACATCGTATTATTTCATCTTTTTTATAGGGTAAATCACGTAAAACTTCCTTTTTAAGTCGTCGAAGGACAAAAGGCCGCATAATTTTCTTTGCGTTTTTAACTTGTTCTCTTTCGAATAACGGTTGTTCTCCATCCTTCTTATCACTCGATATTCTCTGAAAATTTATTTCACAGCACATAAATCACGAATAAATGTATACAACGACTTACAAAATATAACTGATACATTTTTAATGACTTACAGTATTTTTAGAAAATAGGCTTTTTAAATCTGCTTGTTTTCCAGCAAATAGTGAAGGCATCACAAATATTAACAAAGATATTAATTCCAATAGATTATTTTGTAGAGGCGTACCGGTCAATAAAATTCGATGTTTAGCCTTCAAAAATAAAAAAAATTTCATTACAAAATTTTTTTATATCTATATACATACATAATTAATTATACAATGCGTGGCTTAATGTGAAAGCGATTGAATCGTTTGGGATTGTGAAGCATTTGAAAGATTCTGACTTTCAAACATATACATACATACGTCTCCGTGTGTATGAGAGAAAGAAAAGTTGATTAGAAATTTGAAGTGAAAAGTTGACACTTCAATGAATGAACGAAGGAATACATAAATGATAACCTGTTTCAAGGATCAATATTCTACTTGTAACATAACAATAATTAATACGTACATTAATCCTGACGAGATTTTCGTATCTAACAGTGCTCATATTTTTGAGCATATGAGCTTCATCAAAGATTACGTAGTTTAACGGCATAACGCGGAACAATCTACGCTCTTCCGGGGTGCTAGAGATTAAATTATATGTAGTTAACAAAACATCAACGTCATCGAGATCACCGTTTCGCCAACCCATTCGCATTTCTTTTCGTTCCTCTTGAGAACCATAATACTGTACAACCTTCAAGCTAGGCGACCATCTTTCCAGCTCGTCCAACCAATTTTCTAAAAGAAGATCTTTGTAAATATATTATAAAAGATTTTTGTGGTATTGCAAACGTTGCAAAATGTGCTATGTTACCCATAGTCGAACTGGGAACAACAATCAAATGCGGTCCGTCTTTTTCATCGAGAAGATCAGCTTCTTTCAAATATGTTAAAAACGCTATCACTTGTACCGTTTTTCCTAGACCCATTTCATCAGCTAATATACCATTTACATTCTGTGCATGCATAACAGCAAGCCAGTTTAGACCAACCATTTGATATGGAGCCAATGTTAAATTCGGTGATAACATTTTTGGTTGTTCTGTTATAGTCGAAGCTCCAGCAGCTACAGCTTTCTCCATGTTGGTAGACAGGCGAAAGCATTTTTTCATAAGAAGTTCTACTACGTGTCGTGTAGATAGTAACACCTTTTTGTACGTATTTAAAATAAATTAAAGCTACATGTATATTTTATCTGAATTACGAAAATCTCTTAAGTTTAATTAAAATTGATTCAAACTTTGTTAGCTTCGTAGAGGACAGATATAGTTTACTATATATCAAGTTGACTTCGTCAAATTTACCTGAGCTGCATTCAATAATTCTGTATCTAAGTATTTTGTATTTTGAAATTTATTCACTAAGTCTCTCCAATCTTCAAATGGTCTCACAGCTATAATAGCGTTAGCTCTTTTTTGAGAACATTGAGCCATGAGAAGCAGCTCTGAAGGCAAAGCAGTTTGCATAAAATCTAAAACTGCCTTTTTGTCACCCGTGAGTTCATTAGATATTTCTATATCCGAATCTTCATCACTGTAAAATATATAACAATATTATCTCACTATTTATCTCACAATTGTATATATTTAATTGCGAATAGAAATTATTGTGAGACTACATGCCTATTAAATACTTTGTCTTTATAATTTCCCTCATCTGAATCAATATCTACATCTTCATCTACATCTAATTTCCTTTTTTCTTTTTGCTACTTTTTGCAGATTGCTTTAAACCTCTTTTTCTATTTTTTTTAAGCGCTTCTTCAGCCTCTTCGACGTTCCAATTGGTACTTGTAAGTACTTCCTGTATATGCTGAAAAAATTATTCACATGTGATTTGTTGTACTTTTATTTAACAAATCACAATATATTTATAATTGAAATAGCTTAATTAGACGATTGTATTATTTAAATACTTCTATCTATTTGACAAAAAGATCTGCTTAAAAAAATCTGACTCACCAGTACATCGTTTTGCGGATACAAAGTTGTCAGGTACTTTATTTTATTCTCTTTACCTTTGCCATTGCAGTCCGAACTTGGCTTACCTGGACTGCCGATGTCGCTGTCACTATCTTCAATGCGATTTACGGGCTTACGGCGGACCTGTATATCAGAACTTACCAAATTACTATCCTCATCAGCTAAAATTACAAAAAAAAACACATGTCATCTCTCCAGAGCACAAAATGACAGATAGGACACAAGATGATAAGAGACATTAAATCGCGTATTAAAACAATAGCTAGACTTACATATTATGAATGTAATTCATATTTTAGAATAGGATTGCAAATGTTTGAAAAGGTCAGAATCAAAATCTAAATTTTGAAATATAAAATTACTGAAGTGAAACAACGGTACCGGTCGCCGAGTACCGTTTTCGCGGAAACGGTGAGGAAACGGTGCGGTGGGGACGCGCTGCTGACAATTACATCGATTGCCACACGAGACAATGGTAAAAAAAAAAAAAGAGGGGAAAAAGGTGGAAAAGAGATGAAATCGTGAAACGTCTTACACATATTCATGATCCTCGTTTGTTTTTTTTGAAAGCGAAATCGGCGCAGGAGGCTGGAACTACTTGTGTCCGTTTTAAGCGAATTCGACTCGGACATCGCGTCTAACCGTACGAGGGACGCTGGCAGAAACACATTTTTCCGGAATAACTTTCGGAATCGTCTGCCAGGCGCACTCGGCGCGGATCGCAGATCGCCGAGCGCGTCGAGGCTACGTAGAAACACGTAGAACGTAGATCGGATAACGCCACGTTCGGAATGGTATTTTATGCCCGATTTCCACACGTTCGACCTTCGAGATACTTTTCGAAATATTCCGAACTGAGAAAATAATAAACTTTGACGAAGAAAATATAGACATGTACCCAAGAAATGTTTTATATATAATTTTCAGATATAATAGGATACAATAATTATCTATAAGACTCCTTATATAAAATATGTCCACACATTTCTTCTTTATCTTTTTGTAAAAGGAACGATATGGAATTATTCTTTTAATTATTATTATTATTATTATTATTTTTATATGAATATATTAAATCGAGATTAAAGTTTTTTTACGTTAGTAGAAATAATATTAACTTTTTTATGTTCTGTTAAGTTTAAAAATTAAGAAAAAAGAAAGAGTAAATTGAATTGAAATTAAAATTAAGGACATTATAATATTATATTTATTATAATTATAGGCGAGTTTTTAATTCATCGATTAATAAATCGCATTATGCGCAAATGCAACTTTGCTCTATAAAAAGCAGCATTTGCAGATTATGCGATTGATCAATCGATGAATTAAAAGCTCGTCTTACATAATTATTTCTATCAATCGTAGATCGACTTCAATGTCACTTATTTTCTGTTCTTTTTCTTTAATTTCAGAATTAAACGAGGATAAAAAAAATACATCGACATACAAAAAATTAAATCGAGATTAAAGTTAATCTGCATACTCATAGAGACGGATGTTGGAATTTAAAAAAAGATGAAACAAAATTAAATCGAGATCAAAAGCGTCGTTAACGGTGACGGCCGCCGTCTGATTGGCGGCCGATTGTGACGCGCACGGGGAAAAGAACGGAGTCGACACGGGAGCGCGCGCGCGCTCGCGCGACACGCCATTCTTAAGGGTGCGTGATTCAGGGCCTAGGTTTTCCGTCACACTTGCGCCGTCGTCTGCTCCCTCCGTTTATTTGCGTTCGTCGTTTGCACCGCACGTCCCCCCAGCGCCCAGCGTTTCGTTATGTTCGACGGCGGATGAGTGGATCGCGCGCGACACGACGGGCACCAAGGAGAGCCAAGGATGTTGCTGTACACGCTGATCGGTGGCTACATGCTGACCTCGATGATACTGTTCAAGTATCCCACTCTGCTGCACAAGAAGAAGAAGGTGAAATTTTTGTGCCAGCACATCAGCCACCGAGGTGGTGAGTCGTCCCTCCCTTTGTTTATCATTCGCGATACCTGCGTTATTCGCGAACTTTATTAATTTTTCTCACGCATGCGAATCTCATTTTAGGGGCCGGCGAGAGCTACGAGAACACGATGTGCGCATTCAGACGGTTAGTTAATAAGATATTGTTTATTCATAATTCGCACGAATCAATGAAAATGCTTTGTTATCTTGTATATTAATCAACGCGGAGCTTTATCATCATATAACTTGTGAAATATGTGACGAAATGTGCATATCTATTATGATGATCTCATTTCACATATTCATCTAAACGTAATACCCTTCAGGAAAATTAATATCTTTTGTTCTATGTTTATTTTTTGCAATATCAAGCATTTACATTAAAAATTTTTAGAATATCTTTATTTTTGTTAAATGATATATAAAAATTTATATATAATATATATATTTGCATAACATAAAGATAAAGTCACAAAAGCTATCTGTTTGAATTTTTACAATTGCAGAGCAGTATCTATCGGGACACAAATGTTGGAATTAGACTGTCATCTTACAAGAGATGGCGAAGTAGTAGTTTCTCATGATCAGAATCTTTTACGCAGTACTGGTATAGACAAAAATATCTCCGAATTGGATTATAAAGATTTACCACTCTTGAAGCAATGTTTACCAATTGATTTTGATCCAGGTATTGCTATTTATTATTCTAAGAAAAGACTATACATTTTAAATGAACAAAATTATTTAAGAACTGTAGTTAAACAGATGTGGAGTACATTGGTTCAGCGAGGGAAGAAGATCGGCAATTCGCCTTGTTACGAGAGGTCTTTGAGGCATTCCCTGATATCCCTATTAACATTGATATTAAGATCAACAATGACCAACTTATATCCAAAGTTTCTGATCTTATAAAAGAATTCAACAGAGAGGAATATACAGTTTGGGGAAACTTTAGCGATGAAGTTACACAGAAATGTTATAAAATGGTACATTAATATGCATATCTACTAAAAACAATATTTCTAAATTAATATATTTGGAGCATAACGAACATAAAAACTGATAGCATTTATCATCTTGATTTTCTTGCAGAATCCAAATGTAAACTTATTGTTTTCGATGCAACGCGTGACGATGTTAATATTTCTCATGTATACTGGCTTGTTGCCATTTATACCATTGAAAGAAACGCATCTTGAGATTTTCTTGCCTTCAATCTATTTGCGGTAACTAAGATGTTTTATGTCTTTGTAATTCCAATGGAATTATAACAAAAATAATTTTCTTATATTTTTATTTTAGACGAAAAGGTGGCCCGAGTCCAACATTTCTACCGCTAGAAAAGTTGGTAGTGCGTACGATTAATGTACTATTAATGAGACCGTGTTTATTTAATCATTTAAGAGCGCGGGGCATACATGTAAGTATATACAATTAACTCATATTTGACTATATCAATTGATTCTTAATATAATTCATTTATATGCTTATACAGGTTTACTTTTGGGTCTTGAATAAAGATGAAGAATTTAAAAGAGCATTTGAATTGGGAGCAACTGGCGTGATGACAGATTATCCAACGAGATTAAAACTATTTTTAAAAAATAATGCGATAGAATGAGGTACTGGATAGCTTTCGAAAAAGTACACACATCAGATAATGCAATTTATGAAGGAAATTCGCGGAATTATTTATGTCTGTGAGAAAAGATATCTGCCACTGATAAGAGGGCTATATAAGCTATATAAGCTGCAGATTAAATAAAGTAGTATATTTTTTATAAGCAAAGCAAAACTATTTGCTTATGTTCTGCGTATAAATGCCAATTAAAATCAATTTTTCCATAATTGCGATAACCCGTACAAATTGATTCGTTAATTGTGAAATTGCGCACAGTGTGCACTACGCACGTGTACATTGCACGTTGCAGTTTATTGTTATATTAATCATGGGTGCAGGTATTCATTCATGGAATAAGATTGCTCTGGCCTCGTAAATCTTCCATTTGTTTCTCTTTTTACATTTTTTCTTGCTTCATTGAAAAACGAGGCTTTTTGCAATTTAATTGCTATTAATTTCGAAATTTAAGCTAATATTATATTATTACAATTATTTTAACATAGTATCTGCGCAACTACCTATTTAATAGATGATTTTTACACACAATATATAGTATAATTATAACGCGTACTTCCATTTAATTTGCCATTAGAATCCATGATTTCAGATTTTATATATTTTATTTTTATTTATAAGATAGGTACGCTTTATCTTTACATAATATAAAAAAATATTTAACGATTTATTTTTTTTGTCAAAAATTTTATTTATAATATTTTTTCACACTTAGATTTATTGTAAGGAAAACGATTCGCACATTATGAGAAGCCTGCATGCATATCCCAATTTTTGGTACAAATCTATTGATTACTACATCTCTCTGGGGCCAGCGTTAACTTAGCCCAATATTCAAATGCTTTGAATAATATATAGTCTGATCTGATGCATTTGTTAAATAATTTTTAATCTTCATAGATTCGTGAAAAGAACGTTTTATGTGAAAAGAGAAATATCGAGCTACGCAGACCGTGATATGTCCTTAGTATAAATGAGTGTGATATAAGGAATTCCCTTTTCGTAAACCGTGAATGTGATAAAAGTCTGTGGCAGTCTCGTAATCGTATTGAGAAACTGAAATCGATAAAACCTTATCAGGACTAGTTCTATTAAATAAAGAAATAAATTTATGTATACTTGTGCAAATGTTGTATTTGATGAATATGATATTTACATTGTATTTATGAGATAGAGTTCCAGCATGATAATCAGTATTAATCATTGTACAATTTAATATATGTATATTCTTCACGAGAGAGAGAGAGAGAGAGTTATCATTCTTCAGCGCTGCATCCATGTCTGAAGTATATCCTACATACAAAGTTATATCGTGTATTTGCATACAGGGCATTTTGCAACTAATATAACTCGTAATCGTTTATGAATATCTATATGTTGGATATATGTACTTTTCTAATCTTTTAAATAGAAAAACAATACTAAACTAAAGAAATATTATGTTAACAACATATGCAAGTGCAGCTCACACATTTATAAAACATGTAATGATAACACATCTTTTCTAACTTATTATATGTATTATATATAATTTATATTTAGGCTGTTTTTTATATATAAAAGATCTGTGTGTATATGTGCCATTATATATGTATACAATATACATATTCAGATAAAGAATAATATATAAGATTATCAAACAGATGTGAAAAGTATCAATATTTGTGGTTATATAAAATGTAAGAAAAATTATACATTTATATGCTGTTTTATGAGATAGTCATAGAATTCATGTAATGTTATGTGTAATCTTTATTTATGATTCTGATTTATTGAAACTATTAGAATTTTTGAATAGTTATATAATTATACTTACAAATATATTATTTTTACGTGTTTCAATAGCGCAACTTTTTTTTTATTAATGCCACAAGAAGACATTTTAAAAGTAAATTTACAAATTTATGCATACATATATATTATATTCTATATATTTAAATAAATTATTTATTTAGCTTTATAAATGTACTTTACATATAGGAGGAAGGAATTAAATAAATAACATAGCAGATTTTGTTAATATTCATTGTTTCTATTAAATAATCGAAATCTTATAATGTATAATTGAAATATCGGAAATGTTTTACAATGAATGTTAAGTATAGAAAAATAAACGCAACTATGTACAAATTCATGTACCTTTGTACTTGGAATTAACTTTTGTGTATTTGTAAAGCTCAAAGTTTATAATATAAGTTTTCATTCTATAATAAATAATTGTTCTTTCACCCATATGAAAATAATATATACATCTCATATGGTAAAAAACGTATGTCTGTAACTATATGTTTATACTTTCATTTATTTTTTTCATTTCTGAGTTTCTACAATTCGTTTCATCACGAAAAAAGAAAAATATTGCAATTGTAAATAAAATTAATATCTATGAAAAGATTTATGAAAAGATCACATTTAGGAATCGTTTACAATATTCATATTTTGTTACCAGTATCATTTTTTACACTTGTATAACATTTTGTACTTTATTTTTTTACTGCATTGATTGCTGATAATATGATGTCTATCTTAATATATATTTTGAAAGATCTTCAAGTGACAAAAAGTATCTAACACATATATACATATATACATATATAAAAAATATGTAAAATATACATATTTTAAGAAATATGTAAAATATATATACATACATATTTTAAAGAATCTAAAATTCAAGAATATTTTAATTACAATGAGAATTTTTTATGTTCAATGCAATAAAAATTTATACGTAAAATTATATCAAGAAAAATAACTTTATATTTATCTTTATATTATAATTTAATATATTATTAAATAACTATACTATATTAACTTATTAATCTTGTATCCTTTTTACAAAAAAATTAATGTGATATATAAATAAATTATTTATCTTATAAATATGGAAGTATCATTTCATATATACAAATGTATATAGAATTGTATATTATTATGTATATTATTTGTCAATATTTATATTATAAAGTACATGATTAACACTCAATTCAATATCCGAAATTTATAATAAAAAATTATTTCTAGATATTATATTTTAAAAAACATTTGGAATGTAAAAGTCAAATGTTTGTCATATATTCATTATATAAAATTATTATCAATTATTATCAATATTTATGTTTATAGAATATATATAATTAATATCAATTAATATCAATTCCTTATTTAAAGTCTAATGGAATAGAGAGTCATAATCACTTATAAATAGTAAGATATACAGATTGGAGGCTTAAAAATCGAATACTTTTTGTCATTGATTATTGATCAAAAAACGCAGTGTATTGTATATAATAATAAATTAATAGATGTCAAAAAACTGATGATCTGCTGAGTATTTCTTCTAGAACATAGATACATTCAGATAAGATAATTTCTAATTTGTTTAAATGACTTGTTAAAACTCATCTCTCATTATTAAGAATTGCACTTGATTGGTTTCATAATCTCCCTATATTCACACACATTTCTATTAAAAATATCAAATTCAATAATATTATGTTTAAAAATTATAGCGATAGTAACATTTACATTGGTTTGTCTGATGTGTTTTCCTCGAGTGGTTCATTGTGTTTGCATTTGTGATACACGAAGCTCTCTGATGACTCCTCATCGTCCATCGTCGTAACTTTTCTATATATAAACACTTTACCTTTGCAATAGTGACAGTGTTTGTCTGAGGGATGTGAATCATTAAAGTGCTTTCTTATGGCAGTCTCATTCCCCAAAATATTCTGTTTACAATCATCACAACGAACATATGTCCGTCGAAATCTCTCGTGGACCGAGTCTGTGACAAAATAGTCCTCACAATTCTTGTGATTTTCACATTCCTCATGATCTTTGGTATTCTTGTTCTTATTGTTATGTGTACCAGCTAACATCTTGCATCTGCAATTGAGAGTGCATGATCAATAATACATTCTGCTTGTGATATTTAAATTTTACTCAATAAAACATTTATGTTCATTTATATCAATGTAGATTAATTTTAATCTCAATCAATTAATTTTTTATCTTCTTCTAATTCTTAGAGCTGAAGAGATAAAAAAATTAATTAACTCTAGATTAAAGTTAATCTACTTAGTAGAAATGGACATTACTTTTTTCTAATATCTATTTCTATTAATGTAGATGAGTAATCTCAGTTTAATTTAGTCTTTATTTTCTTGTAATTCTTAGAATTAAAAAGAATAAAAAGTGAATAAAACAGAGGTTAAAATTAATCTATATTAGTAGAAATGGTCATTATTTTTTCTAACGTCTATTTCTATCAATGTAATCTAAGATTAATTTGTTTAATTTGCTCATTTTTTCTTAAAACTAAAAAAATAAAGATATCTTAATCTACATCGGTAAAAATGAATATTATCGCAACAAACTTTACGGAGGGGGGAGTCCTAATGATAAAGAGTATGCAACTTAAACTATTGACGCATCTGCATCAATAGTTTCATATTTTTTTCGACGTGATTAAATTAAGTAATTTTACCTGTTTTTTTTTCCTCACGAATCTGTACAAAGTTCTGAGTGCTTTAACCTCTTTTTTTGCTTCATCTACTTTCGCATGGAGAAAAGCGAAAAGCGAAAGCTTTCGTGTTGAGGTTAGGAATAGCACGCAAGATCGTATCCAAACAATGATAACAAGTTGTATGAGGCATTGTTATTATATTCTACCTATAATTATTATTTTTTTGCTACGTTTTAATTACATTTAGTCATCATCTTTATGTATTGAGTAATCTCAGTTTAATTTATTCTTTATTTATTCTTTACACATTATATATATATATATATATATATATATCTTAAGATAAACACTTGGCGATCCAACGATCACTTTAGTGCGACGAATATACGTCTGTCTTTTGCTTTCTCTCAGACCCGACTGAATCCTCGATCAAAATCAAACCTATGGTATTTATAGTAATTTCGTGACTAAAATAGAACACAATTCAACTTGACTTATCGACCCGAAAACCTGTCGCTTATCGCCGCACTAGACCATTCTAAAATCTTTTTTCTCGCTTTCGTCAAATCTCAAACACACATACGTCTCATTTTAAATGCAATATATATTAGTTTAGCTATGAAGATTACATCTCGAGAGGTTCACGAGTTAATAAAAAAAAAAAAAAGACACAGAAATGTACAAATAGCTATAGCGTGTTTTATTAAAATAGGGGAATACAGGGGATTACAGAGGTCTTTGGACGAAGTTGAGATGTTTATATGGGCTTGATCTTGAAATGTAGCCCTATCAGGGAGAACACCAGACATTTGAGATCCTGTACGAGGTAGTAGAAGCACCGCAAACCTTCCGGGTCCCGCGACTGGTTCACGTCGAGCAGAGAGCCGGTCTTGGAGGTGGTGAACGATATGTGTTCGTCACCGATGACGATCTCCAGCTCTTGGCGGCCGACGCGGTCCGGCTGCGGCCAAAGCGAGTCGTCCTCTTGCATAATTTCCGAGTCCTGGATAATGCGCTTGAGCTCCTCCATCACGCATTGGTGCACGTATGCCTCCTTGCGTATCATCGTATCGTTCTTGTAGTTGGAATTGTTGGCGTAGCGCAGCTTACCGTCCGGCCGGAACTCGAACTCCAGGAACTCGTGCCCGAACTTGCCCTTGTGGCCGACGTAATAGCGTATGTAGAAGTCGGTCGACATTCTCGCTAATCAATTGATCGACTCGACGATGAAGATCAGTGGCAGATAACCTCGTCAACTTAGGTATAGATGCGGGATATGCCTCAATTTGTCTGATGGTTCTTGATAAATGTTTGATGGCGCCATTACCAAACATTAAACCGCTCTCTCATGCAGCGAATTTGATAAATCATACAACTCTGTGACTTGGTTTATAAATTCTTAAGATGGCTTTAAATATAAGACTGTTTTTAATATAAATCTGTTTTTCATTCTTTTTAGCTACCTCTTTAGCTGCCTTTTGTTCATCTTTTTCCTTTTTCTTCAATATGAAGAAAAAAAGGAGAGATAAGCCGTGCAATATTAGGTCTGTTCTTTTTAGCTGAACTTGCATAGTCCATTTTTTCTCTTTTTCTCTCCAACATGAGGAGAGAAAAAAAAGATAAATTGAATTTAATTAAAGAAATTCAATTAAAAAGAATAGGCCTATTTTCGGCTAAAAAGAACAAGTCTATTTTTACATCAATTTTTTTTAGTCGACACACGATAAATGTAAAAAAAGTCACAAAGATAACTTGTTCCTTTTAATTAAAATCTTTTGAACTTCTTACACAGTTTATTTTTTCTCTTTTTTCATGTGAAGAAGAAAAGAGAAAAAATGAGCCGTGTAACCAGTTTAGCTAAAAAGAACAGACCGAAATTTAAAGAAAACTCAAGAATTTGAAAAGTGCAGAAGTGCAGATGTAACGAACAAATCTAAGATGCCGTTCACTATCACTGTAATGGAAGTATATAGTTCATGTCACATATATTATAGATTTTCAGTGGCAGTGAATATCGGAACGCAATCGCAATGATGCACTGTCGTACGTTGTCGGGTAATGTTAGGTCACGTGTCAAAGTACTGACGGTGACGGGATTGACGTCACTCGCGTCAGTTGACGTTGGTTGACACAAGGATTAGGCGTGTACGGGTTCCATTGCGTGTTCGTCGCAACGGTGAACATCGTCATGTGGAAGAAAGACAATGTTCGCACCATGATCCTCGAGCGTTCGCGCGACCGACGTTAAGGTAACGCTCGACCTCCACTTCGTGATGTCGCCAATGTCGATGTATGTATCAAGCTAGCAGCCTGAACGGCGAGCTCATGCTGCTCGACGAGTTCACGTAAATCCGCTCCGAGGCGAGACAGTTCCTGCGAGCGGGGGGGGGGGGAGTTGAGGTTCGCCGCCGTCCGGGTCCACGTCGCGGGTGTAGAACATGAACAAGAGCCACGCGAATAAGAGACTGAACCAGCTGCCGAGCTGGCTGTGGACCAACTCGACCACCCTGCCGCCGATCTATAAAATGGTGTGGGAGGCGGTGCGGGAGGATCGGGTCAGGTCGAATGGCGTGCAGACCGAGTTGCTCGTCGACACCAACAAGGTGTTCCCGCTGTTGCTCACCAGCCAGCTGCCCACGGAGGTGCTCGGACATATATGGAGCCTGGCCAACCAGAAGTACGCTGGACAGTTAACCGAGCAGGAGCTGTATATCGTGCTGGCTCTCGTGGCAGCCGCCCAGACGTCCTATACCTTCAATAGTCTCGACATATTGCATTTGCTCCCCTTCCCGCCGACGCCCTACCTGAACATAGATTGCCTGATGAATCTGCAGCCTGCCTGCATGCAGGCAAACGCCCTGAAGCTACAGCACTACGAGGAGCTCGGTAATAGTAGCCTTGGGATTGATGGGAAGTACGTTCCTGACGTTAAGGGGAAAACTAGGGCTAGAGCCTATGTGAACGCAGTGCCTGATGCGAGTATATCCTTTTCCAGCAATGCACTAGGAAAGTCATCCAGTTTCGACAGCAAGGCTCAAATACCTGGCGCAGCTGGGGGTACTTTCAATAATTTGTTTAAAGACATAAGACAAAGTCAGCGTGTTCAAGCCGATATTCCGTCTGCATCGTCTTTCGATGAGTCCTGTGATGAGTTTACAGAGTTTCAAAGCGCCCCGATCCCCAGCGTCTCCGCAATGCCGATCTGGGACAGTAAGCAGGGTTCCGCGATCGGTAGCAGACTCGCTAATCATAATCTAGGAGTGAAGAAAACGGTTGACAAAGTCAAGAGAAACGCCGTCGGGACGAAAGTCGTGCATATCAATACCCAAATTCGCACTCCCGCACCCGCAAATCTGTCATATTCGTGCAAGGATCAGTCCGTGATAGAATCCACGTCCAACCTGTTTCCCAAATGTGGAATAAAGAATCAATCCAAAACAGTAATACTTAAAGACACTGTGATCAGAAATAACGACACGCCTAAGGATTACGGTGACAGTATCAACAATCTGGCGGGTATAGCGGAACGTGTCAGCGGTGACAAAGAGGTATTACCTAAAGTGGAGCTAACACCAAAGGTAAATGACGCAGTAGGTCTGCCAGTTGCGTAGAACAAACGTGTCTTATGTCTGTGTCGATATATATTTTTTGCTGATTTATACGTTTATCTACGTAGGCCGTAGAAATGTCTGATTCTGTTCAACGAGATTTAATGAGTTTGCAACAAGTCGAGGATAAGTACAGCGCGTTGCGCGAACTAGTTCAGGAAACGTCCGTTGCAAACGATGCGAGCTTAGATTTAACTTTTAACAATCAGCCGGCCGACGAATTCGGGGAGTTCATGTCGGCGGAACAGCCACCGGTTAATCCCCCGATATCAGATGCTTTGGATACCGAGAGCTTTAGTAACATGTTTGCGGATTTTGAATTTAAAACGCTGAACACTAACGCTGACAGTGGTAACTTAGCAGACTTGAACTTTGTATCTGAAGTGTCTGAATCGTTAAATAATCTAAAGCTTGACGACGGAATCGAAGCACAGTTGGTAGAAGCAGGTTAGTGCTCTCATGCTCACAGCTTTTATTTTATTCCGCTTACATCCTACTTTGCTTGAATCTAGTAGTGTATATTATATCCTTAGGAAAGAATGTTCAAAAAGAGGATGCTATCTCGATAAATAGTATAGAGTTGATTAGCGGTCCATCCGAAGCACTGCCACGTTCTGGATCTGTACCTAGCTTAGATCTTAAATCATTTTTGCCTTCTAATGTAGAGGAAGAACAAGTTATAGAAGCTCCACAGCAGGTATACACGCACATAATCGAATTATCATGTTGAGTATGCGTTTGAGATGTATATATACATATTATGTATACGAGATGTATACATAGATACAAAGTACTTTCTTGTTGCAGACTATTTATTGGGAATGGAAGCAATATATGGAAAGTTGTGTTTTGCTACTACAAGTTGCAGCCAATATATTTACCAATATAACGTCGGAATTAGTCCTACAGGAAGTTTTAAATTCTGCCCAGGGATATAACTTTCTTTGCCGTAGGTATTTTCCAGCCGAGAACTATATCTTATAAAACATTTTTGGAAAGGATTGCGAAAATGTTAAATAATTAAATATGTATTATGTATATTATTTATTCGAAGTATATAACGGAATATATCTAAAAATAGAAAATATATTTTGTCACATTAGAATTAGCTGAAGTTGCAGCTGTTTGCAGACGCGTTAATTTTTCATACAAAGAGTTGGACATAAATATTATTGGATTCGATGATCTTTTAATGGACATTGATCGAATCTGGGCTGAAATGGAACCTTTTTATGCAAACATTCCGGTAAATATTATCTATATGAATTTTGTTGTTTTTCTACATACTTAATTGATTTTATTAATTCTTTTACATATATATTATATTTTTTTTCCTAATATATGTATCCACTTTCATGTGTTTTAGAATACATTCTGTTAATATATTTCAGATTGTTACCGAGCTCCCCGCTTGGCCGTTACATCAGGGTGAATGTGTACCCTGTTCTTTGTGCTTGACAGTCATCACAAGTGGTCGAGTCGTGTATAACGATAATAATTATCACGTAACATGCGCGAATTTATGGCTCAATTGCGTAAACAATCAATTGCCAGTGATGCGATACTCTTTACTTTGCCAATCAGCTATATGCCCAGGAAGTCACATTTAAATACTAATCTTCACATTGCAATGTTTTCAAATGCAAATTATGAATATTCACATACAGATCTTATTAATGTAATATACAGAAATTTACATTAAAAATCATCTTTCAAAATCTTTCAATAGAATTCTGATAAAATTTGCATTTTATATAGCGAGATTACCCATGTATATAAGTAAAGTAAATCGCAGAATCAATATTCGTATAAATTATTTATCAAACTTATACTTTTCAGAAATTTTTGATGCTAGCAGATATATACAATACTCTGTCATTAAATTGGCCATGCAAATATATTTGCATATTTGGCTGATAAAACGAACAATGAGATCGTATTTTAGTTGATCTGTATGATTATACAAGTGTTAAGAAAAAATTTAATATTACATTATTTACATAGGCATTTCTAGTAATTAACGTTGACTCGTGTCACGCGGCCTATACACTATTCCTCTGCTCTTCATTTCTCTGATGACACCAGCTGGAAGTCGTCCTGATACTGATATGGCATAAACACCTTTGCAAAAACGATCTGAGAAAGAGAATAGAATCTCTTATTAACATTGGCCATTACGACATAATTAGACTGAGATAAAATTTTAACTTTGAGAGTTCGCATAGTATTTTACTTGAATAAATCTTTATAATATATGCTACGCATATATGTTCCTAGATAAATACATACTGGCATTTGTAAGAATATGTCTGTATAAATGTACTATAAGTTTAAGAATGAAAATCTCAGAAATATATTTATTGAAGCATCTAAATATGTATCATAAATAATTTAAAAACATACACAAGTAATACCAGGATGAATGTATCGAAGAGTTTATATTTTATTGACTTTACAACTTTAAAATAAAAATCTAAAACAAATTCTTAAGGAAATCCAAAAGCAGAGACATATAAGAAAGTTGCATATCGGTAATAATTTATAAAAATTAGAAATTTACTAGTTACTTACTTATTCTTTGCCACTTGCACACCCAACTATCTTCTGGACTCATTACAGCGATCATTCTAGAAAGTAAAACAAGCAGTTAAAGTAAACGTGAAAATCGATTTTTTCTTTACAATATAATCTCTTATTGAAATAAGACATTTAATTCAAAGACAATTGATATTTAGATTAACTAAATTTAAGATATAAGTAAAAAATTAAAATTAGTATGTCATCCTTTTGTCATCCTTTTGATTTGATATTCTTAATAATTTCCACTTATAAATGCAAAACAGTTGCTAAACTAAATATATTTGTGAAATAGCTAATGTGTATTTTTAAAATTAAGCTTGTAGTTATTTCTATCAATGTCTATTAATTCTAATTTCCATCTATGTCATTCTTTAGCTTTTTCTAATTCTTAGAACTAGAAAAAAAAGCAAATTAAATCATAATAATAAAAGTTAATCTATATTGCATAAATCTATATTGTATGAATAATTGCATATCTATTGCTATTTATTACCCATCAAAGTTGGAACTCGTACAATCGAAAACATTATCCTTATTGTTCTTCATACGAAGAAATTCGTCACAATTGTCACATCCGTCTAATTCGAATTGGTCGAAAGTCTGCAAAGTGAAATTATGATTGCAATCATTTCGAAAATACAAATAAATTCTGCAATTGTCGCAATCACAGCCCAGTTAATTAACTGATTGTCATAATGATGTAAAATAAATTAATGAAATACACACCTTAACCAAAGAGCATACCAAACATGCTCTTAATCCACGTAAATCTTTCGGCACGGTCTCCATTGACATTGTTATTATATGCACGTAATAATACGTGATAAATAATATGTCAGGTAAAACGGTAAGCGATTTATTACGTTATAAATAAGAGAAGTAATTCGAATTACTTTGAAATCTTTCTGCAATATGTAGCGACGCACGGATGATAACAAATAAATAACAGATTTAGGTTAGGTAGAATTAAATTGAGGTTAGGTTAAATTTAGGGCTTGCGCACGATGGAGCAAATATTAGGAACAAAAATAATATTAAATTT